ACAGCTTAATTTCAACGCAATGTCACACAAAATAGATTAAATCAAAATGAAAATAAATCGAAATTTATGAAAATTAAATTTATCAATGCAATCGGAAACACTAAAATGGAATCGTAACATATTTAGTATAGTGGAGTTGCAATTACGTGCAACAGATGGCCCTGTTTAAAAAAAAATATATTTTTACATGTCACAGGTGTGACGTCTATATAGTCGGTATATAAAAACACGTTTGTATTCGAATGGAACATTGTATCAAAATTTCAAAGCAATCGTTGAAGAAATTTCAGAGATTTCAGCATGTGTTGCTCTTACATCCAACAGATGGCGCTGTTAAAAACAACACGATCTTTCCTGTCACAGGTGTGGCATGTATGTAGGAAATATATAAAAACACGCGCCTATTCGAATGCAACGTTGTGTCAAAATTATAAATCAATTGGTAAAGAGGTTTCGAAGATTTCCCTACCATGAAAAAACACAGTTTTTCAAAAAAGCATGTTTTTTTTCTCGTCACAGACGTGACATCTATATAATATGTATATTTAAAACCGCTCGGATGCGAATGGAACGATGTGTGAAAATTTCAAAGCAATCGGTGAAGAACTTTCTGAGATTAGCGATTTTGAACAAACGAACATTTACTTTTATGTATATATATAGACATATATATATATATATATATATATATATATATATATATATATATATATATATATATATATATATATATATATATATATATATATATATATATATATATATATATATATATATGTCTGTCGCACCTAGTAGCCAGAACGCACTTCTCAGCCTACTATGCAAGGCCCGATTTGCCTATTAAGCCAAGTTTTCCTGAATTAATATATTTTCTCTAATTTTTTTCTTGTGAAATGATAAAGCTACCCATTTCATAATGTATGAGGTCAATTTATTTTTATTGGAGTTAAAATTAACGTAGATATATGACCGAACCTAACCAACCCTACCTAACCTAACCTAACCTATCTTAATAGGTTAGGTTAGGTTAGGTAGCCGAAAAAGCTAGGTTAGGTTAGGTTAGGTAGGTTAGGTAGTCGAAAAAACATTAATTCATGAAAACTTGGCTTATTAGGCAAATCGGGCCTTGCATAGTAGGCTGAGAAGTGCGTTCTGGCTACTAGGTACGACATATCTATATATATATATATATATATATATATATATATATATATATATATATATATATATATATATATATTTATATATATTATTAAATATGACCGAAAAAGTAAGATTAATAATTCTAACACGAATTTTCTCAATCTTTCGTACATTTCTTTTCACTGTTGGAGGTAATTCAAAAGAAGAATTATTAATAGATAAGTGGTAATTTATAAAATTAATAGATAAGTATAATAAGTTTTAGAATTATTAATCTTACTTTTTCGGTCATATTTAATAATATATGTCTACAGGAAAGACTGCTACCAAAATATACTAATATATATATATATATATATGCTAGCAGTACCCGATCACGCATTGGCCGGGTACTGCTAGTATATATTCCTGTCCCCTGAAACCATCCCTGTCCCCCAGTCCCCCCCTCCCCCACAATTTCCCCCCTCCCCCGTCTCCTCGGCCTCCCAACCATTCCTCACTCCAAAGTCCCCTTGTCCTCCCCACCATTCCCCACTCACCCATCCCCTCTTCCTTCCCATCATGCCCCACTTCCCTGTCCCTTTGTCCTACACACCATTCTCCAGTCCCCCCATTCCCTCGTCCCCCACCATCCCAAACTCCCCCGTCCCCTCGTCCTTCCCCACCATTACCCCCTCCATTGTCCCCTCGTCCTCCACATCATCTCTCACTTCCGTCCCCTCGTCATCCCCACCATTCCCCACTCCCTCGTCCGATGCCTTCCCAAATGGTCTCATGTTCACATCAGAAAATTGGGAACATCAAGTGATGTGATGTTCCCATCACTGAAATATAAGAAAAACAGTTAAAAAATGAAATGGAAATATGAAAAGTAAAAAAATAAACTATTCTCCCAAAGTGAAAGGTATGGTAAACAACACAGCTCAGTTCCAACGCAATTCACACAAAATTAAATCAAAATGAAAAATGAATAAAAATCTATGAAAATTCAATTTAACAAACATAGAAACATTGAAATGGAATTGTTACATATTTAGAATAGCATGTGTGTTCCTCCTACATGCAACAGATGGCGCTGTTTTTAAAAAAATGTATAGTTTTACCTGTAACAGGTGTGGCATACTTACGAAATGAACGGTATGGTAAACAACACAGCTCAATTCTAACACAATGTCACACAAAATAATTCAATAAAAATAAAACAAATCAAAACCTATGAAATTAAAGTTTATCAATGCAATCGGGAACATTCAAATGGAATTCGTGACATTTAGTATAACGTGCATGTTGCTATTATGTGCAACAGATGGCGCTGTTTTTCAAAAATGCATGTTTTTTTCCTGTCACAGAGGTGGTATCTATATAGTAGGTATATAAAAGGACGCGCATATTCGAATGGAATGTTGTGTCAGAATTTCAAAGCAATTGGTGAAGAACTTTGGGAGATTACAGCGTGTGTTACTCTTACATCCAACAGATGTCGATGTTTTTTTAAAAAAAAAGCATGTTTTCTCCAGTCACAGGTAAGGTATGTATATATTAAGTATATAGAAACACTCCCCAATTCGAATGCAACGCCGTGTCAAAATTTCAAAGCAATCGGTAAAGAGGTTTTGAAGATTTCTTTCACATGAAAAACATATGAAAAACAAAACATTTCAAAAAGAGCATGTATTATTCCGTCGCATACAGGACATCAATATAATTTGTACATAAAAACCTGATCGGATGCGATTAGAACATTGTGTGAAAATTTCAAAACAATCGGTGAAGAACTTTCGGAGATTAACGATTTTGAACAAACGAACTTTTCCATTTTTATTTATATATTAGGCACTTGAGATATGGGTGTCACCAGTTTTTTTTTAATGAACTGGGAACGAAGCAAATTGAAACAAGAAGAGTCGGAACTTCAACGTGAAAATACAGATGGGGAAATGTACACTGCATTATGAAAACCACGAGTTACTACTGGAACCCAATTAGGAGAACCAGCAGTTGCTACAGCTGGACCCCAACTATGAGAACCAGCAGTTGCTACAGCTGGACCCCAACAATAAGAACCAGCAGTTGCTACAGCTGGACCCCAACAATAAGAACCAGCAGTTGCTACAGCTGGACCCCAACAATAAGAACCAGCAGTTGCTACAGCTGGACCCCAACAATAAGAACCAGCAGTTGCTACAGCTGGACCCCAACAATAAGAACCAGCAGTTGCTACAGCTGGACCCCAACAATAAGAACCAGCAGTTGCTACAGCTGGACCCCAACAATAAGAACCAGCAGTTGCTACAGCTGGACCCCAACAATAAGAACCAGCAGTTGCTACAACTGGACCCCAACAATAAGAACCAGCAGTTGCTACAGCTGGACCCCAACAATAAGAACCAGCAGTTGCTACAACTGGACCCCAACAATAAGAACCAGCAGTTGCTACAGCTGGACCCCAACAATAAGAACCAGCAGTTGCTACAGCTGGACCCCAACAATGAGAACCAGCAGTTGCTACAGCTGGACACCAACTATGAGAACCAGCAGTTGCTACAACTGGACCCCAACAATAAGAACCAGCAGTTGCTACAGCTGGACCCCAACAATGAGAACCAGCAGTTGCTACAGCTGGACACCAACTATGAGAACCAGCAGTTGCAACAGCTGGACACCAACTATGAGAACCAGCAGTTGCAACAGCTGGACACCAACTATGAGAACCAGCAGTTGCTACAGCTGGACCCCAACAATAAGAACCAGCAGTTGCTACAACTGGACCCCAACAATAAGAACCAGCAGTTGCTACAGCTGGACCCCAACA